AAACTCTGGAATGCATATAAAAACAGCTCGAATTCGTATAATTTTTCTACTTCATAACTATAACATTCAAATAAATATAATAAAAATCTGCTAAATCACGTTAATAAAACGTCATAAATTAATCAAAACATAAATTATATTAAAAAATATCATCGAACATGGAATCCGAATTAAATTTATTAAAACAAGAAAATGCCAGGCTTATGGCTAGAGTCAAAGAATTAGAACAAACCACAAAAGAGAAAGAAGCGCTTGAAGTTAGAATTGCGGAATTAGAACATGCTGTGGAAGAGAATACTCAGCTTAAGGTCAAAGTAACTAAATTGGAATATGATTTTGAGGAATTCAAAAAGCGAACTCAAACTTTTACTAATACACAGGAAGCAAAGATTCAAATCCCCGATTCATCCTTAGATTATTCAGAACCACAAGCAACTTTTCTACCTATTGGAGACCACTCTAACAAAGAAACTTTATCTCACTGCGAAACAAATGAGTCTGTAACTTCCGAGCAGATAGAAAATACATCTGATAACGCGTCTTCCGCCCCTGTAGAATGGGTTGAGCCCCGAGTCTCCGACTTAACTAAATCGTTGGAAGATAAAAAGATTGATGATTTTCTGGATCTAAAAGAAAAGGAAAGGGTTAGTAATATGATGGAGAGAAACAGGGAAAAAAATATTCAGCATACCATTTCTTCCGAAATAAATTCTACAACTGAGATTTTCCAAGATACTATAAATCAAGATCAAAAAACAATTCAATTGGAATCTCAAACTTTTGCTGAATCAGAGCAAATAACCATTGATCAGGTACAAGATAATATTTCTTCCGAAATAGCGAAACTAAAGAAAATTCCCTATAACCAGAAAGTAGAGCAAGGTTTAAGGCATGAATTATCTGTTTGCGTCAAAAATGATAGTAGTGGAATTAATAGTGGAGCTAGTGCCAAGGCACATAATGTATTTGATATACAGATTCCCAAATTATCTTTAGAAGCAATTATAAGAGGATCTAATAAAATTACAACACAAAATATAGTTGATTTATTTAATGTTGCTATAAAGACTAGACAAAAGGAGATTTTATGCTGGTATTGTTACTATAAAGCATATGAGGAACGAATCAAAGATATTACAGTCAGGATTTTTTCCAAATTTGGAATTTCTAAATACTGTAATGATCAACATTCTGGAATACAATTGAAAATTCTAAAATTGTGTGCAACATTATTACCCCCTTAAAAAAAATTTTATATCAATTTTTTTTTGAGCAGTTTAATTTTGGTCCATTTAGTTATTAAAAATTTTTTTATGTAAATAAATATTATTGATTAAATATAAATAATTAAAAATTTATACATTATAAAATAAAT